TTGATCAAGTAATTTTTTTTAAAAAAGGTATGATTTAAATTTTATAACAATGGGTATAGTTGAAAGTAAGCCCATCTTCAAAGAAAGAAAAAAAAACATAAAAAAAAACAGAGATAAGAAAAATAATAATTGTAATAATCTTGATAATGTAATTATAAGTTAATTAATTCTTTTATCATTTATTGTGGTCTAGTGATCAAAAAAAAATCGGGGGCTAGGTAGCAATGGAGGTTGTTGAGTATGCATTTGCTTCAAATCTTGGGTTTGCTAAAAAGGGGAATTTTATTATTGTTTTCCAAATTAAATTACAACATTTCCCTTAAAAAAAAATGAAAATGAAGATTTAAGTTTAAATGAGATTTTATTTTATTTTATTTATTTATTTTTCCTGCCACTGCCTATGAGGGCATCACGTGGGGGTGAAAAAAAAAGGGGGAGAAAGCTCCGGAAGTGAAGAAAACCTCAAATCCCTAACCCCATCTTGGAATTCCATCGCTCCTTCCACTGCCTTCCCCTATCCGTGCGTTCGTCGACGGCGTGTGTGCTGTGGGTGTGCCGGTAATGCTGAGCTCTGTGTTGCTTCCTTTAAAGCTTTGTCATTCTATTTTTTCCTTTGCTCTTCGGTGCCTTGGTAGCTTAGAAAGGATTGAGCTTCATTCCCGTTTTCCTCTTCCATCTTAGTTGCTACTATTAGGGATTTAGGTAAGCTCAAATCCCTTTTTTTTTTATCTTGAGTAGCAGTGTATTTGAGAGAAGTTTTCCCTGTTCTTCTCTCCCCTGTTTTTGCTGCTGCTGTTGTGGGGAGTGGATTGGAGATAATTTACTTCTGTTGTATTTAATCTTTTACTCTGATGAATGGGAGTGTGTGGAATTGTATTGAGATTATATATATATATTCAGTTGGCGCTGATGTACAGTTTGGCCCAGGGGGGTATTGCGTTGAGCTTTGATGAATTTTGGTTTAATGGATTTGATGAGTTTATTTGAATGTGGGTGCCGAAACATATGTGTGTGTTAATTAGCAATTAGCAATGCTTCACTGTTGCCAACTTGTGGATTAAGAGGTTTGGTTGTTGAGTTATGTTGAATGCCTATAAGGTGTTTGACGAACTGTGTGAATGAAGAATGAGACTTGGAGATTTTGTTTGGTTTAGACATGAGGGGATGAAGTATTTGGATATGTTTATATTAATATTGTGATGATTGCAAAAGTAGAACTTTGGAATCTAGTTACTTATGTTAATAATGTTGAGAAATTAACTTGTGTAGCTTCATGTTGTATTTAGGGTGTTGTAGTTGCTTGTCTAGGAGTAGAACGCGATAATGAAGATGTTGTAACTAGTTATTTGGACGCTCAAGAGCTATATGGTTGTTGATTTTTATAGCCTGATATTTACTATGTGAGTTGAGCTAAGATGTGCTTGGAATAGCTGTGCAATCTTGTAGAAGAATTTAATTAAACTAAGATTAATGGATATTTGCAAATTGATTTATGGAATGGTGTAACAAAGGAGTTGGTTTATTATGCAGTATTAATGAGCTGAATTAGAAAACGTTTTTTTGAAAGGTTGATATAATATCCATATATGAAACTCCACAGAAATTTAAATAAAATCCCTTGAACGTTGGCATTGAGTGAAATATTTATATACATAAGCTCATTTTTATTTATTGAGACTTACTGAAGAAGAATAATCAACTAAAATTTCATTGAATAAATTGTTATGAAAAATTCTTTTGGTTCTGTGACACCAGGAGATTTAGGAGTAAGCACATTACAGAATTGTATAAACGAAAGTAAGTAGTATGATTGAGATAAGTAGCTGTTTAGTGAATAGTGCTTCATGATAATTTTTATAAATGATATGTTTTTCAATGTCATATTTGTTTATATCATCAATATTTTTGTTTTAAATATTATTTGATTGAAAACAGATTTGTTGGAACTATAACATTTGTTTATTGATATTTGTATGCCCGGACGAAATAATGCTTTTGAATAATGATATATATATTTTAAAAATGTCCCTGTATGAACTTATACTGTTTGAAAAGAATCCTTCCTCAGTGACTAACGGAATTTGAAAGAAAGTTTTGAAAATGTTATTTGAAAACTTTCATGCTGGAATCATTTGTTATAAAATATTCTTTATTTATAAGATTTCAATATGGGATACAAATATCTTTCGTTTAATGGTATATTGATCCCATGCATGCTCGAAAAATGTTTTTTTTTTCCTGAGGACTGAATACAGAACGCTGGTTGCTAACAGCAGTACTGTTAGCTCTTGGTGCACCATGGTTAATATCGAGCTCGCTTGTTATTCGTGGCTTCAGCTGCGCTTGTTATTCGTGGGCATTGTTCTCACGCTTGTAATTCGTGGCTCCGGCTGCGCTTGTAATTCGTGGCTCCGACTGCGCTTGTATTTGTTGCTTCGATCGCGCTTGTGATGGTGCACCATGGTTAACATCGAGCTCGCTTGATATTCGTGGGCATTGTTCCCGCGCTTGAATTCGTGGCTCCAGCCACGCTTGTTGGTTACTTACCCTCGTGGACTGTGTGTCCACGCTTGTTACTCGTTCTGTTGAAGTCCTCAACTGAAAAGAGTTTTTGACACTATTTCGTAATTTGAATTTATAAATAAAGTTTTTTTTTATATCAAAACCTCTTTATATATTTTATTTTATGTTTTCATGGCTTATTATGAATTTAAAAGCAATGGTAAATTATTTATTTTACATGATTATATTGCATAATTTGTTCTTGTAGCACTTCTTTTACCTTATTTTTATTCATGGGAACTATTGAGTCCTTGTACCTCCCATTGAATAGCAAAGACACTCATTATTAATCAAAGCTTGTAGATACGTTTCTGAATATCTTTTAATGATGTAAACCTAAGTGTACATTTAAAAACAAAGGGAAAAAAAACTTACTATTTTGACAATAAGAAATACATATATATATATATATATGTGTGTGAACTAGAAATAACGGATGAACCCTTAAGATTTTTGTAATTTTTAGGGCAAGCATTTGTTTGTATGTCTTGAAGGCTTTAGGAATGTGAGTTCTCATATTCCGTGCCGGTCACCCTTTAATTTTCGGGGCGTGACATTAATCCATACAAGAGTTCAAAATAATCCTAGAATCAAAGTATTTAGCCACACATACTCAGAAAATCCACAAGAATATATGTATACATCAGCCCAAAATGGAACAAGACTAGAAAAAGCAAGATGGAAAGGAAAAACCAAGAAAGAAGCCCAAATCTCTTCAAAGCTCCAACTCCTAGCTCAATCTCCTCCAATAAGCAAGCCCTAGCATAGCCAAAGACTCCAAGAACCACTGAGAACTAAAGAACGGCAACCAAAGTCGAGTTTTGGGGCTTAAAACCTAGAATTTTCGAGCTTAGTTGAACTATGCGTTTTGCTGTCAGCAACTATGCCGCAGCCTAAAAATTTATGCTGTGGCCAAGTTTTCCTCTATTTCAGTTGAGCCGCAGCCAGGTTAGAGTGCGCCGCAGCTCATTTTGCCTCTGAAAAATTCTGTACTTCTAGCTCAAATGAGGAGTTCTACCTATGATTTGGCCTCTATTTGTTCTTCTTTGATTACCATAATGTAATTCTTAAGAAACCTTGATATTTAATTCCTTCCAAAGTACTTCCAAGTGGCTTGAAATTTTAATTCTTAGACCAAAATAACCTTTCAAAAGTAACAAACTTTATAAGCTCAAAAATAACAAGGATAAATGCCAAAATATGAACAAATACATCTAAGAATGCATAAAACCTAAAGAAAAAGTGTTGAAATGACATGAAATTCTAGAGATTAACATTAACTCTTGATTACTCCTCTCTTTTTGTGATTAATGATATACATGTGTTTACTTTACTCTTTTCTTAATGCTTCTAAATGCTTGATCACCATGTAATTGATTTGTTCACTTGATTGATACTCCAGAAAGCTAGATTGAGTGTAGAACTTAGGTAAAATTTGTAAGAACCTAAAGTTTGCTTGTTGACTAGATGGTTTTGTTGGTAAGATAGAGATATACTTACCAATTTTACATAGTCACTTTAGGATTGGAATTTAAAATTGGGTTTTATTAATTGGAACAAGAGATTGAGAAATTAATGAAATTAAATATTTGTTCTTGACTTGATAAAACTTATACAGCACCTTTTGAATCCTAGACTAACATATATACTTTCATTAAGAACATTTATGAGAGGAGGTAAATCAAAGGTTATGAAATACAAGAGGAATGAATAATCCTAGATCCTTTTTATCCCTTGAAGTTGAAGAATGAATTATTTTCATTACTTTTTATTTTTAAAATTAGTTTTCAAAATTCATTTTTCCCATAAAAAATTTGTTTGGCTTAACTTAATTAAATTTACGTAGTAACGTAGTCTTTTATTTGGTCTTGATTTTTGCGCAAATCTCGGGGAAATGATCCTTTTTCATCATTGTATTACTTATCACAACCCGTGCAAAATAGTTGGTTAGTTCATTAATTTGTTTTGATAATGAGTATTAATATATTTCCCTATACTTGTGAAAACTTTTTCAGAGTTCAACTCCTGACTAATCTAGTGCATTTTTAGATTCCTCTACCCTGATTGTAAATTAAATTTCAAATTGCGAATAAATAGATTCACATGCATAGCCTCAAAATAACAAATCAATATAAATAGAATTAAATTCTATAAGAAGCTGAACAATTCATAAGACATCATCTCAAGAATGCAGTTGCGCTCTTTCCAGATTCATTGTAACCCTATTTATGTTTTATTTTTTATTGGCACATTTTATTGAATACTGAAAAATTTTATAATTTTTTGTCTTTAATATTTCTCCACTATTTTACTAGTTTTAATCGGTTCCAAACATGAGTACATAGATCTCCCTCTCTCGCGTGCATGTCTAGAGAAAATATCTAGTTTATTAAAAAGAGAAGCTTCTTGTTAAAAAATAACAGCACACATTAACTATTTCAGGAGCTGGTGAACTTGAACAATCTCAATGCGTTGTTGTTGAAAAGAATTTTGGGACATTGGCAAGTCCAAATCCTGCTATTACCTGCAACACAAATAAATTGGCAAAAGAATTGAAATTGGAGAATTAATATAAATGTCAGTAACATTAATCATTGTCAAACTTTATATTAATACGAAAGATAAAATTTATAGTAGGCTGTATTATTATGTTATGAACAATATGAATTATCAAACTGTGTGTAATATACAGAGACCCGCCTAATTAAATACTATGAAGCGATTATGTTATATGCACAATTCCTCATTATTAAATGAAGCTTTAAGTTCGATCAAAATGTTGGATTTATCATGAAGAGAAAACCAATCTATCTATTCAAGAAACTTAAGCTATCTAATTTGAGTAATTAAACCTTCCAAGAGGCAATGTTTGAGACACACATTACATACCTACATACTAGAGGACAAACACCAATGCAGGGGGATGATTATAACATTAGTAGATCATAAACACTAAATTACAGATCTCACTTTAGAAATCTTTCAAAACATTTCCATGTAGAGTGCACATAAACTAAAATGAACAGATTTGGGAGAAATTTAATGTGTTGCTTTCAAGTAAATCTATTGATGAATGACAAATACGTGAGAGAGAGAGTGAAACAATGACGAAGATGGCGAGAGAGATGAAGATTGATGGATATGAACGATGAGAGAAAGAACAAGGGATGCAGACCGATTAATAGATATGTGTGTGGTGTTTGAGAGAGCGAGAGAGAGATTTTGACACAATAAATAGTGGAACATTCTCCTATGGTCCTATTTACAAGGTATTTTCAACATATTTTACACAGACTATAAAGAAAACCTTAAATTGCATTAACTCTATCTTAAAATATAATAGCTTTTTAACTTTACCTTTATTTAATATGTACACTTCCAAAAGAATAACAACCTACACTATACTAAAACAGTACATTCATACTAAAAATTTAATAATGTGACCATGTGACACATAAATAAAATCAAGAAAAATCTTCTCTCTCTACCTTATAAATAGGGCTAGAGTAGTAGCTGGGTTTTACTTTCCTTCATCATATCTTATTAATTTGTTATGTGATATAATTAGTGTATGTGGCTTGCTCATTTTTAATATGTAACAAGAAAATATGATGACTGAAATTGATAATGGAGATGTGCTATTTGGAGAATAAAAATTGGGTGGTTGAGGAAGAGGAATGCATCGAAAGTTATTTGTGATCGCAAATTGCTTACTAAATTTGAAGAAACATTAAACCGCACGGCTACAACACCATTGACAAGGATTTTATGATGAACATGAGGTCATATAAAAAGAAAACAAGACACATAATGATTGAATATTAGGAAAAGTTGGCGTGGCATTATTGTTGAAGAGACTCTAGCCGAAAATCGGTTAAGGTGATTTAAACATTTGTAAAAAAAATGCTAACGGGAGGAAGTAATAATCAAAGGGTAAAGTAGATGACTTTTAAGCTCTATAAACAGGCATAAAAGAACACACAAAAAATTCAAATTTAAGTGGAAAAAGATGAGCAAATATTAGTTACCAAAAGGGAGCCGAAAGCATAGAGTAGGGAATAATGCTGTCTGTGAAGGACCATATCCTCCAGCATAGCGATGGGTATGGTTAGAGAGGAGCCAATTGTAGCCACTAACGGTGTTGTCCAAGTAACTCCTACTCCCCTGTTCATCACATGTTATGCTGATCAATCATTATTAGTGTATTAAATTTCCTATATAACAATAAATTATACAATTTATATATGGATATTAGGGATAATATAATAATGGCTAGTTAAGCTTAAAATCGTAAAATGTGTGTGTGTGTAAAGGCTCACAAGTACGTAACAGGCGTAATCAGAGAAGAAAGTTCCTACGAGGCCACTGCAAATGATTCCCTTCATTTCATGAATTCCTGGCAATTCAAATTTGGGTTCCAAGCCTAATGCCACTAGAGGCCATACTGAAAATAATTGATATGAATGAAGCAATTAATCAATAATTCATTTGCTTTTTATTACCCTTCCTTTATGAAACAAAGGTTTATAGAGGTAACACCCATTCTTTTCTCTTTACCCATCCAAATATTTATGCATCGAAAATCTAAACTAATCAGATCAAATATTTAGACGGTCCAAATTTGTTATTAAAGCACAAATCTAGATTGGGGTATGCTCACCTAACCACGAGAGAGAAGATATTGTGAATAATCCAATATATCCATACAGAACTCGCATGTCTAATCCATCCCCTTCTTTAGCATATCTTTTCAGAAGAACTGTAAGGGAGATTAACTGCATTTAGGACTACTTTGATAATTCATATGTATGACACGAAATGCTTTTTGGGCGACATATATTTTAGAACGTGAGCCTTTTCTTTCGTTTTTTTTTTCCTCTCCCAAAAAGGACGTGAGGCATATGGGCCTTAAATTAATTTTTTTGGTAATAATATAACAAGTGAGAAAAAAATAACAGATAAAGTACCTGTGAATGCTGCTTCTGCCATAGCGGAAAGTAATGCCAAAATATCTCCAAGAATGGTATGTCCTCCCTTTCTTATCAACGAAATGAAACAAATGGTATCTCCAAGTGAAGTTCAAATAGATAACAAAGAATGTATCAAATGTGAATATAATGTCAAGGATAGAATAACAATCTTGTTATTAAGTTAAACCACTTTCTGTTATGTATTTAACCATAGTTTATTATGTAATCGGTTAACTGATTGTATAAATACTGGTTTTACAACAATGAAACACAGGATATTCGTTTCCCATTTACTGGGTCACATGGTATCAGAGTCTGACCTTTTTTTTTCTCTTAGTTTTTTTTTTTCCACTTTTCTTTCCTATCCTTCATTCTTTTCCTTTGTTCGCTCCCTGCCCTTTGCTTTGTTCAACTCTTTTTCTCTTTTCTTCTCGAGCTTCCATGGTTGCTGACTCCGCCATCGATGAGGCTAGTCCCTTACTATACACTTAAAACGAAATTTCTTGGGTCCTTTTATGACTTGGAAAAGTTGGTCTCAATATGATAAGACATTGATAATTGGATTCTTGTGTTTAGGGTTCAAATGGTTGTATCATTATACACATTCATTGTCTTCGAATGATCAACAAAATCAACATATAATTCTTCGGTCCTACTTATAAGGTATTACCAACGTATTTTATTGGAAGTAAGAAAACATTAAACCTAATCTATCTTAAAATTTAATAACTTTCCAAATTTACCATTACTTTGAAGTCCAAGAAAATAACAATTTATAGAACAATAAATTATGAGTAAAGTTATATATTCATATCATAAATTTAATGAGATGATCTATATTAATTAATGACAAAACAGGAGCTGTTATTATACCCTACAAGTGGGACTAAAGGATTATATTGTTAGTGAGGTTTGAGAAATAAGTCAAATTATTTTTATCTCATAATTAGGAGTTACTACCTTTACTCCTTAATATAAGATCAACTTCGCAGAATAGATGTTATTGTAAAGAGCAGAGGCAGTAAAATGCTAAATTTTTATGTTGTATGTACAAATATGAATAGTAAAGATTTGAGAAGGAATTAAGAAATGGAGGTACTTGAATATTGAAGTTGATGTTGGTTCATGACCGGCCTTCCATGTATGTCCCAAGGTTGTCAAGGAAACACCTGTGAGGCTCACAATCACAGAAACTATATTCACCCAATTCACAGAAGACTCTTTATTCACCAACTTCCCAATCCAAAGTGTAAATGCTGATGATGTTGACAGTAATCTTATTGCACTTGTCACACTTGTTCTAGCAAGCGCAGCATTATTTAAATACTGCAAAAATTAATAAACATAGAAAAAGTTAAGCATTATTAGTACATGTTTATGAGTCGCTAGGTCACCACTCAATATCACTTTGGCTGCATTTCAGTGGGTCTGTAAGAATAATATGACCCCTTTATTATTTTACATATAGTGATATGTAGTAATTCAGATTTAGATAATGTTTGATGTTTGTACAACTGTTTGGTTCATTTCACCACTACTTATTCAAGATTTACTTACTTTTATTCAACCTCGGAGAACAAAATATCAAGTCCATACATCAGCTTTTGTACTATTTAAAAGCGATGGCAAAATTACAATTAATTTGATTTTTTAATAATTAATATACTATATAAATTGTAATATATTTTTTTATCGATTTGTTTCAGAATATTTTGTACTACCTTAGCTTCAACCCTAAATATACAAGTTAAACAAAGGGTTTAGTGTCATTATTGCTGAATATAGGACTTTAGTTCATTCTGTTTTCCAAATTAATAATTTTTCATCCAAAATATCTCTAATGATTGTACATATTAAGGAGGCTTCTAATCAAGGCGTAATTTTAATACACTTTCTTAAATAGGATAATTTAAGAAAACTAAGATGTATTTGTTACAAACAACCAACTTAACTAATTTTTTTAATATTCACCAACTACTCACTAATTCTTGTATTAAGAACAAAAAAAAGGTATCGTATAACTTGGTTTGCGGAAGGAGCATATTAGACAAAGAGATTAACCTGTGAGATAAACCAGAAAGGGGCAATAATCAACGCCAATTTAGCAACTCCAAAGGATGTAAGCTTTCGGTCCTGGGACAAGTTGTCATCCCTACCTATCATTGACTGCTCTAAATCAGAATAATCATCGTCTGCTTCATGGGACTCCGATGATGATGATGATGTTTCTGCGCTTCTCCGACCAAAAAACTGCTTTGTGGATTTCTGCAACCTTGCTGAAACGAACGCTACGAGAAGATAAAATACTAACAGTGATATCTGAATATATGTCACAATAAACGGGTGATTATATCCTTTCAAAATACCCTGCCAAGAAACAAACAAAAACAAATCAAAAAAGCCATTAATTCGGTCAATACCATTACACATCAAATGCTTAGTTTGTTCTGAAGAAGACAGACCTGGAGGATCTCTTCAGAAGTAATTCCCAAGGTCTCAACAGTGAGGATGAGAAGCAACCCTACTTTATATTTCCGCTCCATGTTCGCTTATAGCTCTCGATTACCCATGGCTGCTTTAAGCAGATTAGTTTATGATATGATATGGAGCCAGCTAGTTGGCTTTTGTGTTTTTTTAATGCTTTTTCTCAGCAAGTCTTATATATATATATATATATATATATATATATAAAATTTTTAACCAATGAAATATTTCTATTTACAAAAGATGATAACCTGTCTGAAATATATTTTTTTTCATTTTTGCCGTTGGTAATTATTTGTTAGTTTTACTGCATTGATTACGCCCCATGTCCATAAATAAGAGTATTTTAATTGAGTTATTTGTATTTTGAAGAAAAGCATGGGGAGAATATACAAATATTTGAGTGGTGACTCGTGACAAACGCGGGCATAACTAATCCCTAGGTTAAGCTTCGTTGTATGGGTCATTATCAAGGAGGACAGAAGTTGGTGAAACGGGATAATAAGAATCTGATCAATTTCCAATGCATATATATCATCTAAAATTTAATTTCGTTACTTAGACTGGGTCCTAAATTTCAAGTTGGATTGAGGACTGAAGGTTTAAATTATATATGTGGATAGTAAAAATTATATTAAAAATGTTATGTCTCAATTTTAGAGCTAGATGATATTATATTGATCGGTCATTAATATTTGATGTAGTACTCCTTTGTCCTTATTATAAAGCATCAAGTAACAAGTATTTTTAGTCTTTTTTATAAGGCATTTACTTAATTTCAAGGAGCATTGATTATTCTTTGTCATATACTCCTCTGGTCCTATTTATAAGGCACTTCCAACATGTTTTACACAGACAAAAAAAAACCTTAAACTTCATTAACTCTCATTTAAATTTTAATGACTTTCCAACTTTATCCTTATTTAATATACATTATACCTCATATAAACAAAGTCAACACAATAATAAATGAAGGGTAAAATTGTACATCCATAAAAAAAATTTTCTCAGTGCCTTATAAATAGGATCAAAAAATATCTTCTCTCTCTGCCTTATAAATAGGACGAGAGGAGTATGTTCATACCTAAAAAGTAGTAAGAGAATAAAATTTAATAAAATGTTGGAGTTTAGTATAGTTAATAAGGGTAATACTCCCTCCGGTCCTAAGCCTCACTTTTAGAAAGTGGTTTGGCCTAAAGCATAAGCTTTATTTTTAATTTTGTCTGGCATTTATTATTATTTTTTATTTTACCCTTAGTTGACTGTATACAGTACTTGTCTTCTCTTATTAATATTACCCTTATACATTCTCTCTCATCATTTTTTTTTCATTTATTACCCCTCCATTTACTCTCTTCACTACAAAAAAATTGACTTTCAGCGGCGACTTTTGTCGCCGCTGAAAGTACAAAAGTCGTTGCCGTAGCAGCCGTGGCTGAAAACTTTCAGTGGCGACTAAAAAGGTCGCCGTTCAAAAATACTTTCAGCGGCGACTTTTAAAAGTTTCAGCGGCGACAAATGTCGCCGCCGAAAGTGTTTTCTGCGGCGACTTTTTTGTCGCCGCTGAAAGTAATGCCTAAGAAGAATTAGCTTTACCAATGCCACGTCATCACCGCCGGTGCCACGTCATCGTCTCTGGCTGCCACGTCAGCACCGTCGACCTCCACGTCATCGCCATCGGCGGCCACGTCATCACCGCCGACCGCCACATCATCACTAGCCACCTCCACGTCATTGCCACGTCACTCCTCCTCGCCACGTCATCGTCTAAATATTTTCATCTTAAATGTGTCTTCTTCCAGGTTCGAACTCGTGACCGCCTCCCTTCGTGTCCAACCTTCTTGCCGCTGAGCCAGATTGAATTTGTTTATTAATATTGTAAAATAAAATATATATTATTATATTATACTTTCAGCGGCGACAAAAAAAGTCGCCGCTGAAGGTCCACTTTCGGCGGCGACAAAAAAAGTCGCCGCTGAAGGTCCATTTTCGGCAATTTGTTTATTAATATTGTAAAATAAAATATATATTATTATATTATACTTTCAGCGGCGACAAAAAAAGTCGCCGCTGAAGGTCCACTTTCGGCGGCGACAAAAAAAGTCGCCGCTGAAGGTCCACTTTCGGCGGCGACAAAAAAAGTCGCCGCTGAAGGTCCATTTTCGGCAATTTGTTTATTAATATTGTAAAAAGCTTTATAAATAAGAACAAATTTGAAAAAAAAAATATTTTTGACCTATTTATTATTTTTAATTAATTTTAACTGTTAATTCATTAAACGTGATTTGGTTATTTGAAACTTATATATTGGACCGGAAAGAGTATTGGAAATATTTGAATTTTATGGCGAATTTAATGTTTTAAACTATTTTTATTGGTACACGTGAATGAATAACTTATTAACTTATAATGGGGACCAGAGGGAGAGTACAAAGTACTAATTATTGAGGAAAAAAATTATGTTCAATAGCTTAATTAACAAGACAGATTTCTTGTTATGTTTTTACCCTTTGTTTCTATTACGATGTTTCGATGGCTTTTTTGTGATGTTGAGTTCTATGATCTTACAATGGGTAAAATCTCAATTTGGATTCAATAAGAGATCTAGATTGTAATGTTGATTCAGATGGTTTAGATTTAAAAATATATATATAATTAATTTTTTAAGTTAGAATCTTATTCTCTAAAATACAATTGATCCTGTGTTATAAATAGAAGTTTGGAGCATTTAACCAAAAGGACTGAAACCTCTAATTGACTGAATTAAGAGGATTCAATTAAAAAAATAAATAAAATTAGAAGAATCTGATTCAAATTTTTGGTAAAATTCCAAGAACTATCAAATTAATTTTCCCAATAAAAATATAACTGAGTACATTATAAAGTTGTTAATGTGAGTGCGAGAGACATGTGAGACCAGAGGTAACAAACTCTTTGAGAGGCAGGAAGGAGGTAGGAAAATGAAATGTAACTTGGCCCAACAATTAATTAAATTGACCAATGCTATGTTTGGTATGAAAGAAGTGGAGGAAAAGAAAAATTTTAATGACTTAATTTTAAAAATTAGAGAAATAAAATTATTAAATTTTTTTAAAATAGAATTCATTAAAAAAAATTAGATTTTTTCCTCTATTTTTCTCATGGCAAACAGAGCTGGCCGCAAGAGAGTATCATGTAAGGATTTGCTAAGTGCATTCACGAAACGGCATCATTTCCGCCAATGGTAAAACCTGACCAGGCAGGTGAGGAAAAGGTGGAAAAAGAGAGCTCAGGGGCACATATATCATCCGTTAGATCAGATAAGTATGATTGAACTTCAACCACAGGATTGCAAGGTTCATCATAGCTCTCTCCAAGATGCACCAGCCGGGAATCGAACCCGGGTCTGTACCGTGGCAGGGTACTATTCTACCACTAGACCACTGGTGCTTGATGTTCAACCGCGCCTTCAATTCAGATATTGATGGTTACTATGCTTATTTATCTTTTGAGAAAACCATTTTCAATTGTCAATTTGATACCTGTATATTTTTTATCTTAATTAAATTTTTAATTTTTATTTATTAAAATTAAAAAAGAAAAATAGATAGGTACCAAATTAAAAATTAAAAGAAAGTATAAGTAGTTTCAATATGATTTTTGAGTACATACCACTTTATGTGTCTCATGCCCTACCACAAAGGACAATCGAACAGAAATTCATGCAACTAACACTCTGTTTGATACAAGCGAATTGGAAGAAATGAGAGGGGATGGGAACAAATAATTTTAATGAATTTGATTTAAAAAATTAAAACAAATGATATTATAAAATTTCGATAAAGATAAAATGTAAAATAAAAAAGTAAGAAAAATTAATCAAAAAGTTTTAACTCCATAGAAAGAAGAGAAATTACATTTAAAAGAGTATTGCTGTTTAAATTCTGTTCCTTTTGAAGTTTTAGAACATTACTAAACCTTTAAACACGAGGGTCTCACCAAGCAATGCACATTATATTATACCAGACTATAAGGGTGTGTTTGGTATGAGGGATTTGGGAGAGAGGGGAAGGAAGGGGAGGGATTTTAATCATTTTCCCTTGTTTGGCAACACAAATTTTAGGAGGGGAGGGAAAATTTTTTAAAATTTCCCCTCCCCTCCCCTCCTCAACCTCCCCTCCAAAATTGAGAGGATTTGGAGGGAAAGGGCAATATTTTGTCATATTATGACCATTATGCCCATATTTTGTCATGTTATGACCATTATGTCTATATTTTGTCATGTTGTGACCATTATGCCCACGCTTTAAATAAAATAAGAGCAAAATTGTCCATATTAAAATATTTTTCCCTCCCCTCCCCTTCCCTCCCCTCTTTTTTTATAAATCCAAACAAGATAATATTAAAATCCTTCCCCTCCCCTCCCCTCCCCTTCCTCTCATTGAGTCAAACATACCCTAAGGGTTTGTTTGGTTTGAGGGGAGGGTAGGGGAGGGAGGGGTAGGAGAGGAGAGGGGAGGTTTCATCCTCACCTTGTTTGGTTTGATTAAAAAGAAGGGGAGGGGAGGTTATTTAATGATCCCTTGTTTGGTTCAAGGAGGGGAGGGGAGGGATAGTAATAATCAATTTACCATTTTACCCTTACATATTAGTTTGTGTTTTTTATTGATATATTATATAAATTAATTTACATCTTAATTTAAATCATATAATTTAATAAAAATTCAGTCTTATCATGTTAATATGTGTATTAAAAAATTGGTACAGTAATTTTTTATTCTAATTAATATAATAATATATTTAAAATAATCAAATTAATAAATTTTATATGCTCTAAGAAAAATGAAATTTTATTCTCTTTAGGCTATCTTTTTTTCCAGCTTTAAAACATATTTAATAAATAATATATTTATAAAAAACAATTAATTTTATAATATTATAATTTTTTATTTAAATAATTTTTTATTTTTAAATAATTTTTTATAATATATTTTTAATTATAATAATGTATATATTTTTTATTTTTTTACTTAGGATAATATATTTTTTATTTGAAATGAATATTATAATAATATGTTTTATGGGTAGAAGTGGAATATTGAAAAAACTATAAGGGCATAATGGTCCAAAAATTTGGCTCCCCTCCAAAAACCCCCAATTTGGAGGGGAGCCAAAATGGGGGGAGGGAGGGGAGGGGAGGGGAGGGGAAATTTTAAAAAAGTACCTCTAAAATTTTAAAATCTCAAATCAGAAATGACTACAAAAATATATTTTTATTTTGTCAATTACTCTTAAAGTGTAGTAGACAAGACAGATTTAGAATTTCAAAATTCAAAGGTTTTTTTAAAATATTCTTCCTGTTATATTCCGACAATAAGTGGCTATAACTTACAAGAGCTTCATGAGAAAATGGGATTATGACAGTTTTTTTTCCCAGAAAAGTATAAAACAAATGACTTTGCGATTTTAAAATATCAATTTAATAATGGTTAAATAAATGTGTGCAGCTTCTTCAATATGATCCTTCGTTTAGTACCAGAAGTTTGGAGCATTTAACCGAAAGGACTGAAACCTCGCTAATTGACTGAAGGGTCCGTTTTGATTTTTTAAAAAAATTAAATTAGGAAAAAATTAAATTGCATAATGTGATTTATGTTTGGATTGGATTTTATCAATGATGGCAAAATAAGTAGGATTGGATTTTATAAAATTTAGTTTGTAAAAGTAGACAAATTGTTTGGATTATGATTAAATAAATAAGTTTAGTTTGTGAAATTACTAAAATAGGTATAACTTTTATCAAATAGTAAAAAATGATAAAAAATGAATTTACGTTATATAATAAATTTAAATTATTTTAATAGGAAGAAGTGAAATTCAATGACTGAAATATATTTTAAAAAATTAGAAATATTATAAATAGATTTTTTTAAATATAAAGTGAAACATAATTTTAAAAAATTAAATGAAACATACAAGATCAAACTCCCCAAAAACGTCCCTACAAAACTAAAAATGAAGATGAGAAGGATTGGGGAACAACGTAAAGTGAGCAAGATAAAGAATCTTAAAGGGAAGAGAGCCAGGAATATAGGTGAGAAAATGGGTAAACTTTTACCCATTTTCTAAGGGGAGAAGTAGAAGTAGTATCGACTGCGAGCACAAATCAAGCATCAGCATCCAAGGTAGAGATATGGTCCTACCAACCCCATTAAGTATGACTTGAAAAGCAATAAGCAGAATGAAACAACTTTTGAGATCATACGATTTAAATGAACTTTTGGTCCATCCAAACGGCACATAAATTGACTGAACGTGTTTATGTGTCAATAAGCTACTTATAAGTAGTTTGGACCGTGAATCCAAACAGACTCTGAAGGATTCAATAAAAAAATTAAAACTAGAAGGACGTGATTCCAAATTTGATAAAGCAATAAGAACTATTAGATTAATTTCCTCAAAAGAAATTATAACTTGGTGCCCTATAAAGTTGTTGAGGTTTGGCAAAGATGCCAAAATAATTGGAGTATGACCAGGTGGGTGAGGAAAAGGTTGAAAAAGAGAGCTCAGAAGCACATATATCATCTGTTAGATCAGATAAGTATGATTGAACTTCAATTGCAAGAGCTCATCCCAGCGCCCCAAGATGCACCAGCCGGGAATTGAACCCAGGTCTGTACCGTGGCAGGGTACTACTCTCCTAAGAAATCTTCCTTTTTTTTTTTCTGGAAAAATATTACGAGAGATCATAAAAAGCTCATTAGGTCTCACATTTAAGACCGGAAGAATGCTACAAAACATTGAAACAAGCATTTTACAATCTCGCAGTGCCCATATCAGTACCTAGTTGCCCTTGAAAAATTATTGTGGAAGCATTTTTCTCAGTAGACTTGATATGAAGATTAAAAGTGATGAGGGGTCGTTCTATTAAATCCTGCTGATTAAAATGAACATTATTATTACCGCCTTTCGAAGAACCTTTGTGAATAACCATATTGAACTCTCTGAAACGAACACCCCTAGAAGATATATCTCTTTGGAATGGCTTTTTCCATTTTAATTTCCTTTGTTATTTCCCTTCTGAGTTGTCAGACGCGGAGAGGAAGAACCTGTCCGATTTGCTTTGCTGATGATTTGTTCCTAATTTTCTCATAATCTTCTGTGCTTCTGATTGTTGGGTTGGTCAATGCATATATTAATTTGGTTTTAATAATCCCCAACCTCCTAATATTATTCCATATTTATGGTGACTTAAATTATAAGTATCTAATATATCAACGATAATTTCTCTGGGATATTTTCCCCGTGATAATGTGCCAACTGATTAATATTAAATATTATTGTTGGGTTTATGATTTTTAATATTACATATATTAATTCGTGATTACCACGTGGCATTATATGTGTGTGCGCGTGCGTGCGTGCGAGGCGTGTTCAATGTTGACTCTGTCCGACCTTTAGATTTGGTTTTGCAAGTATATGGCCTCCCTTTTAAATTGTTTGTGGAAGGATTGAGCATGGGGTTGAAGAGAATACTTAATAAAGTTATTCAACAGAACATTTTTTTTGGTTTTCACCAGGGTATCCATCGAAGCGAGCCCAATAACTAATTCCTTGGGTACTGTTGAGCCCAAGATGGGGGTGACCCTCCCAGGCACGCTTACTCCATTCCCATCCCTCCAAGAATCGAACCTGGCCCAGAGGCGATGGTTAAGGGATACAACTCTCTTACCAGTTGTGCCAGCACGCGTTGGTATTCAATAGAACATTTTGGTCAACAACTTATTTAAAAATTTAATAGTTGATAAAGCACAATGATGTTGTGCAAGCTGATCCCGGCTTATCTAGGTGATGCTGTGTGAAGGATTGAGCATATATTTCTATTAAAAGGGTGGTAAAATGTGCGGCTTCATATATAAACACAAATGTTTTCATGGTTGGTTTTACGGTTTTGGCGTCATTTAAGCATATAAATATATTTTATAAACAAGATTTTATTGGGAGTCTGGCTGTTATGATAATTTATTATATGAACTATTGAAATTTGTTATAACGTCTTGGTTAGTTATAATTATTTAAAAATATATATATTAAGATTATTTATTTTGATTTCGTTAACATCTTAGTTATAATAATATCAATTATTTTCCTACTCATTTAAAATCAATTATTAAACTTGATTTTGAGAGAACATTGTTATAAGAAACAGCTCTTAAGCACAAAATTATAACAATTATTAACACAATAGTTCGTGTATCAAAAAAAATAAAAAACGCAATAGTTCAAAACCATACTCTGCTTTTGATTTGTCTATGTAATATATACTTTGAATGATAGTAACTTAACTTTTTTTTTTTTTTTTAAAAGTAC